GTAAAATGTAATAAAAATCAATTATGATATATAATTATTATTACATTCTTCGAAAAATAATTGCATTTATCTAATCTTTCAAGTGTTAATTTCCTTGATTAATTGAAAAAAAAACAGATGAGAACATTTGATTTTAATAATTAAAAAAAAATAGAAAAATGAAGAAATAATAATAGAAAAATTCACTTTATTTATTAAAATTCATACAACCGTGATATACGATGAATTTAGTTCGTACAATCATTTTATATGTTTATTTCCCCGAAAATGCTATAAAATTCGAATGTTATCAAATGAAAATTTATTAAGGCGGAACGGAAATTTAATATCGGATAATGTAAATATAATTTGTGATTTAATTAGGAGTTTTTGTTAAATTGGAGTTGATTAGATGCGTTGGCTGTATTATAAACATGGTGCATCTATACACTATTTTTCAATTTTTCTTCTTCTACTTTAGGAATACAGTAGAATTTCACTAATCCGGCTCTATAAAAACCCGGGTGCCGGATTACTGGAATGTTTCAGATTACAAGATCATAGTGAAGTCTAATTTTCAATACATTTATGATATTGGAAAAATTTTCAAAAATTTCCGGAAAATTGTTCCAAGCTTCGGTCACGAGGGTGTCGGACTGTTGGAGTGTCGGTCTATAGAAGTGCCGGATTAGAGAGATTCTACTGTACATTATTCCAACAAAAATTACACCATCCAGCTTCTTAAAGAAGAACAAAACGTTTCCTTACTTTTTTCAACATTTATCCTTATACCTAGAGGTTTGGGTTCTAAGCTTTTTCAACTTCCCGAAGGAGAAATTTATGAAATTCGCAAAAAACTCCGACTTGACAATATCGTTTTAACTATTCTGAATCGTTTAACCCCAAAATTTGTAAATGTATATGCGTGTAAAAAAATCATAAATATTTGGAATTAGTTGATCATAAAAAAATGGAATTTGGATTAGAGAGATCAGAGAGAACAAAATTCAGATTAGAGAGAACAAATCCTTTTACTTTTTTCCTTATACCTAAAGGTTTGGATTCTATTCTTCTTCAACTTTCCAAATGAGAAATTTATGAAATTCGCAGAAAATCTGATTTGACCATAGCGTTTTAACTATTATGAGTCGTTTAACCCCAAAATTCATAAAAGTATATGTGTGTAAAAAATCATAAAAATTTGGAATTAGTCGATCAATAAAATTTGGAATTTGGATTAGAGAGATTCTATTGTATATTATTCCAATAAAAATTACACCACCCAGGTTCTTAAAAAAGAACAAAACCTTTCATATTTTTCCTTATTAGAGGTTTGGACTCTATTCTTTTTCAAATTTGGAAAAATCGTAAGAAAATCCAACTGGACAATAGCATTTTAACTATTTTGAATCGTTTAACATCAGAATTGGAAGAAGTATGTGTGTTTAAAGTAAATTCATAAAAATTTGGAATAATAAATATAAAAATTTGGAATAATGCTGTTTCAATAAGTCGTTTATTTAAACATGTCTTGATATTTTTATTAAATGCCCATAGTATATTACTGCAAAAATTATATAGAATTTTGTAATAAAATATTAGAAATTACTTGATTTTTCTGCAAATATTTTAAGAAGAATTTAATTTTGAATTAATTTATTTTTTTCAAATATCCATACTTACTCCACGCCCAATTTGTCGAGTCATTTCCAATTATAAAGACCCCACAATTTATTACCGCAAAATTTCGATTATAAAAGTCATCATTACATTATCTACTATATCAATGTTATGAAATTATTATAGATTTTGCACACAACACCCAAAGTATGACATAATTGATTTATTCTGCGTAATTATAAATTATTATTGATAAGATAGTTTTCAAATAATCGAGGAAATTTCCACTTAAGAGGATTACTTGCATACATTTATTTTTCGAGAAATAAACATATAAAATGATTATATACGAAATTCGTCGTATACTTCATCGGTTGTACGAATTTTTAATAAATAAAGTAAATTTTTTTATTGTTAGTTCTTCATTTTTCTATTTTTTGTTAATTATTAAAATCAAATTTTCTCATCTGTTTTTTTTTCAATTAATCAAGGAAATTAACACTTGAAATATTAGATAAATGCAATTATTTTTCGAAGAATGTAATAATAATTATATATCATAATTGATTTTTATTACATTTTACCATAGAATTTTTAGTTAATATAAATCATGCAAGTTGGGCTGTTCCGTGGTCTTGTGGTAAGAGCTTTGGCTTTGCAACTAAGGTTCCAAGTTCCATACCGACCTCGGACAGTCTAATATCAAGCGGCAGTGATCTCGATTTTCACTTGAAAATATATAGAAGAAAATATATCGGTGAACATATATACGTAATATATATTATTTGTCTTTTAAAACAGCCCGATATTATCATTTTATTACATCATTCAGTTCCTGGATTACATATGACAATTAAAATTCGTCGGTAAATTACATCCTCATAAATATTTATCATTGTTTTGAACACTATAACAATTCAGTAATAATTCAGATAAGGAACATGTTATTGATCCGTTTTGATAAAAATAAATTTGATGTGATTAGATCAAAGTTTAACCGAGTTTTTGCACACGGCATGAACAATAACGATTTTTGTTTTATTAGAAAAAAAGATATCAGAAAAGATAGAGCTGATTAAATGGTGATCGATTGATTGAAAATAGTTTCAGGGTTGTAAGGAATTTTTAAAAATATTTGACTAAAATTATTATAAAATTACACCCATACCTTTTCTGTTTCATACATCCAGGCTAAGAGTCTTATTCCTCTGGTAACAAATTGTTGATTTATCAAGTGCGTCGCTTAATGATGTAAAAAATAAAAATGATAAGAAAACCTTCATATCATAATTAATTTAATATTTCTTGGAATAATTATTTCACAAAAGCCAGCAATAATTATAGTTAATTTATTTTACTATAGAACCGAACAATTAAAAGTACCTTTATTATTACGATATCGATTAATGATATCTTTCACACCTTTGTTTGAGTTCTATTTAAGTTATCAGAAGTTCACAAAGAAGACCTTAAAGATAGCATTTCATATATAGATTAAGTGGCCCATTTTTCCAAAAAATATGTATATAAGTCACGCACATGGACGTGATTCTAGGTCACAGAATATTTAAGACCAACCTGATGGTAATTCAGTACCAGGCACAGAATTTTCCAACAGTTGATATACTCTTCATCTAATGTCTATATTTATAAAAAAATCTAATTCTAATACAATTTTCTGCTAAAACTGCTCAAATATTTTTTTATTAATTCACCGCGATGAACAAATGAAAAAGGCGAAAATTAATAAAATACGAATGCAATTTTATTTTTATCAGGATATATTTGGTTTAACATTGTATAATATATCATAAAAAATTATCAGTAGAGTACTTATAAATAAAATCATAAAATTATTCTACTTTTTTTCGAAGTGACGTC